TCTCAGAAAACTAATGGTGCAGGGCAAATCACTCATCAAAATCTAGAAAGATAGGCAAATCCAGAAAGACAAAGCACTTGGAGCAGAAATTGCTACATGCCGTAAGTGGTAGGAACACTTACTTGTCTAGTAATTTTGACAAACTGCTATGAGCTGGTTGCAGAGAGTAAGACATTCCTGAAGCCACAATCATAAACAGGCCCCCATACTTTGCTCTACTTTGCTTTCAGTTACCCTGCCAAGTTCTCACAGTGAGGATCCAAATAAGATCCCTGTATGTTCATGGCAAATAAAAGGGGGAGAAAGCCACTGTTCAGTCTCCCAAATTCTTCTCTCTAACAAAAGGGGAAAGATTTTGCTTGAGGGAAACATTGAAAACATATCCCAGTTAGAGGAAAAGAATACCACCCCACTCCAGCTCTCTTGACTCATAACTGAAAAGCAAATACAAACAAACAAAAGCAGAGTTAACAGGACACAGGACTTCAAGAAAAAAGACTGAGAACCTTCAGCTAGAGAAGAGAATGAAGAACATGGTGATAGGAGGGAGCAATACACTCCTGGACCAGGGACAGAAACACTTTTGAAGGTTAAAGGTCCACAATCAGATTAGAGGACACTCCATATCTCCAACACCTTACCACAACACCAACAGAGCTGCAGGATGACAACAGTGGATTGGTCACAGCTAAAAGAGCTGCAGGATATAGACTTTCTCTGGGGTGGAGTCCTTAGGGAGGCCCAGTCAAGAAGGGAGACAATAACAAGGATACTGGAGGAATTTGAAGTTTCTCATACCTACAGCTACAAGAAACATTAAACATTAAGCATAGCTAAACTCCTACTCAGATTAACATAAATATTCATATGAAAGCCTTAGTTACCTCAGTAATCAGTTCTCGTTACCTAATATATCTGGTTTACAACAAAAAATTATGAGGCATGCCAGTAGCAAAGAAAAAAACAAAACAAAACAAAAGAAACACAGTCTGGAGAGATAAATCAAGCATCTGAACTAGATTCAGATGTGAGACAGATGTTAGAATTATCAAACAAGGAATTTAAATTACTATTATTAATAGGCTAAGGGTCCTAATGTAAAAACTTCAATACATGCAAGAACATGCATAATACAAGCAGGAAATGTACACTCTACCAAAAACTCCAAAGGAAATGCTAGAAATACAAAAACACTGTTATTTCAGACAAGTCTGCATACAAAAGAAATGAAGAATGCCTTCAATAGGCTCATCAGTGGACTTGACATTGCTGAGGAAAGAATCAGTGAGCTTGAAGACAGGTCAATAAAAACTTCCCAGTCAGAAATACAAAGAGAAGAAGAGCTGACAGAACAGAACAGAACATTCCAGAACTGTGGGATAACATCAAAGGAGGGTGACATAAACATATCTGGAATACCAGAAAAAGAATAAAGAGGGGATAGGACAGAAGGCATATTTGAATAGCAGCAGCAAACTTCCCAAAACTTAATGATAGACACTGACCCACAGATACAGGAAGCTCAGAAAAACACCAAGCAAAAGAAATACACACCTACCCCACCCCACCTACCCCTACACACACTTAGACAAAGCATTCAAATTACAGAAAACTGAAAGAAGGAAAAACTCTTGAGGGAAGCCATAGCGGGGAAATAACACCTTACCTCTCAAGGGTAAATGATAAGCACTACATCAAATGTCTCATCAGAAACCATGCAAGCAAAATAACAGTGTGATAAAATTTTCAGAGTGTTAAAAGAGAAAAAAAAAAACTGTTAATTCTCTATCCAGTGACATTATACTTTAAATGTAAAGAAGAAACAAAGACTTTCTCAGACAAAAACTGAGAGACTACTAGTCTCATCACCACTAGTTTTGGCCTACAAGAAATATTAAAAAAAATTCTTCAGAGATAAGGAAAATAATATCAGATCCACATAAAGAAACAAAAGAGCATCATCAGAGAATAAATGAAAATAAAATATATATAATCTTGTATTTTTCTTATTTTTAATTGAGCTAAAACATAAGTGTTCAAAGCAATAATAGAAACAATATATTGGGGCATTGTAGCATATTATAAGTGAAGTGAATGACAGCGATGTCACAAGACATGAGAAGGAGGAATTGGGTATACTCTGCTATGGAGTAGTTGCTTTATAATATAGTGTTATTTGAGGGTGGACTTGGAATATTTTTAAATGTGTATTTTAAACTATAGGTTAATCACTAAAATTTTGTTTTGTTTGAAAAAAACAAGTATAAACAGTACACCAAAAGGTAATATGAAAAATGGAATTCATATAAAGCGTTCAATCAAAATTAGAGAAGGCATAAAAAGTAGGGGAGGGCAAAGAACAAATGTATGAAGTGGTAAAAGCTGCAAAGATTTTGAAATTTAATCCAACTACATTAGTAATCACCTTAAATATGAATGGCCTAAACATATCCATAAAAAGATGAGCCATGCATGGTGGCTCATGCCTGTAACCCCAGCACTTTAAGTAGGTGGATTACCTGATGTCAGGAGTTCAAGACAAGCCTGGCCAACATGGTGAAACCCATCTCTACTAAAAATACAAAAAAATTAGACAGGTGTGGTGGCGGATGCCTGTAATCCAAGCTACTTGGGAGGATGAGGCAGAAGAATCGCTTGAACCCAGGAGGCAGAGGTTGCAATGAGCCAAGGTTGTGCCACTGCACTCCAGCCTAGGCAACATGAGTGAGACACCATCTCAAAAAAATAAAATAAAATAAAATAAAATAAAGACTTAGGTTAAAAGTAAAAAGATAAAGAAAGTGACACCACGTTAACCTTAATAAAAAGAAAGTAGGAGTGGATTTACTAGCTTAAGACAATGTTGACTTTAGAAAAAGGAAGATAATCAGGGATAAAAAGGAATACTATATCATGATAAAGGAGTCAATTCTACAAAAAGAAATAACAATACTAATACAAATATATATACCTAACAGAATATCAAAATATATGAGATAAATACTGATAGAGCTGAAAGGACAAATAAACAAATCTGCTATTTGTTGTTCAGGCCAACCCTGAGCAAGGACAAATTCACTGTTAAAGCTGAAGATCTCAATTGCAAGTAGGTTTCAAATCACAGAAGACTAAAACCAGGATGTCCATACCTCAGCTGATTCTCTAGTAGGCAGCCGACCTAAACATATTTTAAGTTAATAACATAACCTCATAGAAAAATGGAAATATACTTTATAACCTTGTAACATTTAGTATACTCTAATCCACATGTAATAATGTAGTAACTCATTTAGAGATCTTAAAATTTATTTGTGTTTTAAAATCAATTAAAAAAATCCATAAGCTTTTCTTTCAAATCTCAGAACTGAAAGGAATTATAGCTTTTGCTGAGACATACAAAGAGCTTGGAAGTCATCACTCCTATCCTTAGAATCAAAAGCTAGGCAAGCTGCAAATAAATGACTTTTCTTGGACTTACCAAGTCTTACCTTATAGAGACTTTAGCCTCTATAGAGGAAAAAAAAATTTTTTTTCCCACTTAACTTGGATTCCCTAATACCTACAGAGGCCTTGGACTTGAATAAAACTCAACAAGTAATCTACTGACTGTCTGAATCTGAATTTTCCCACTAAATTATGTTCATGAACATTTATTTGTACAAGTGAGCTACAGTTTCACTGAAAATACAAAGTCCGAGTTGAAGTTATCTTTTAAAGTAGAAGATTCTGGTTTTAGAGTCATCTTTCACTATTATCAAATAACCACCTGGTTTAATAAAACAGTGAAATAATTACAATGAGTACATGAATTGTTCACAGGGTTAAAGTGCCACATTGATTTACTATTAATTAACTGTTAATGTATTGATTTGAAATGATTCACAAATTACCAATGCAAAGTAACCAATATGGGTATAATACAGAAATTAAGAGAAGATTCACAAAAAGATTAAAAATAAACATATGTACATTACAGAAGTGTAACTCTTAAGGAACATATAAATTTTTAAGTGCCAGAATTTTATCAATTTTAGTAGTATATTAGGGGGTAGTTAAATAATTTATACTCCCCAAATAAGCAAATAAAATATAAATACAGAAGGACTACATTATTAGACAACTCATTGGGTTTAAAAAATAAAAAATGTGAAATGTAATTTTATTTCTTTTTTATTTTTTTGAAATGGAGTCTCGCTCTGCAGCCCAGCTAGAGTGCAGTGGTGCTATCTTGGCTCACTGCAACTTCCGCCAACGAAGTTCAAGCTATTCTCCTGCCTCAGCCTCCCAAGTAGCTAAGACTACAGGCACACTCCACCATGCCCAACTAATTTTTGCATTTTTAGTAGAGACAGGGTTTCACCATGTTGGCCAGGATGGTCTCCATCTCTTGACCTCATGATCCACCCACCTCAACTCCCAAAGTGCTGGGATTACAGGTGTGAGCCACTGTGCCCTGCCTTTATCCCAATTTTATATGTATGACTAGAATAACAACTGAAGAGAAAATATAGTATTAACTCTGTCATCTCTTTAAATTACGTAGTTCAACAATCACCCACAGTTTGTTTCTATCTGGGTGACTTAAACAATTTGAAATTTCATTGTTTCCATGAAACTCAGAAGACCAGCATCATATATTTACAAAAGATTATTTTGCAGTGAGAAATGCCTATTTTTTATAAATTGTCAAGCTTCTTTAGATAGGAGATGATTTTCATTTTACTCTACAGGTCATGGCCCACATATATCCAAGGCACAGATCTGATGTCTTAACATAGGGCACATGGGGATCATTATTTACTGGATAAGAAGTACTGAAATTCTTATCAAATACTTCTTTCAAAACTTCTCTCACATATCACTATGTGATTTACTAAAATTCAATTTTGCTCAACTTTCCCAGTAAAGTGATCATAGCAAGTAAAGTACATCTGCATAGGCTTGTAAATACTTCATGTTCATTCCAGGAGTCAGACGGGGGAATGGAAAATACCACTTACCTGACATGCATTATAAAGGAGCTGATGTTCTAGTTTTTTAATACCCAGAATCTGCTGAAACATTTCATAGAGTTGTTCCTTGCTCAGAATAAGTTCAGACACTGCGCTCAAGGCCATCCTATTTGGCTGTTTGCACAAGTCCTCTTCACCCCTGTAAATGGCATCATATTTGGCTATCCATGAGCTCAAGACCGTCTCTTTGCTCAAGCCGTCTATTTCTGGCAAACTCCGCACACGTTTTTCTATGTTTTTCTTAAACACTTCTCTGAAGTCATTAGCAGAACACCCTCCACTCTGAACCATTCTGGCCACTCGGTCACTCTTTAGAAAAACCTGAAAAATAAAAGAAAATCCATTTACAATTAGGTGTGAACACTAACACCACTTGCTTTCAGCAATCCAGCCAGAGCTTCTGCAAATATTTCAGCCAAATATTCCACAATGATTCAAAATGTTTTATAATACATGGTAATTAATATAATAGTGGTCCCAAATCTCTCTAAAATGTTAAAATGTTTAGGAGACACAGTATATAGTAAAAAAATAACCTATAAGATGGTAACTTTGACTGTGTATGTCTGCCATTTCTACAATTGAATCCTTTAGAGTGGCATCCTTATAAATGTGATTCATGCTCTTATACACATACACCAGAACTCTCTCATGCCTTCCACCCACCACGTGTGGACAGAGTGAAAGGATAGTTGTCTGTGAACCAGGAAGCAGGTCCTCACAGACTCCAAATCTGCCAACACCCTGATTTTGTCCTGCCTAAGCCTCTGGAACTATGAGAAATAAATGATCATCATCTATAAGCCAAAAAAGAAAAAAGATGATTAGGAAAACAACTGCGGATATGAACCCAACATCCCTACCTGTGTCTGAGAGTTCTAGCTGGTTTTTCAGCAGGGAGAGGATCCTCTATCATTTGAATGTGGACTTGAAGACCAATAGTAGGGTAAGTCTAGTATCCAAGTTAATATTTATCATAAGTAATTTTTACTCAAAATTGCCCAACAGCTGGGGGGGCAGTTAGAATATACCTGTCCCTATCCCTGATTTTACCACCTCCCCAACTTCCATACACTTATCAAACTAGGAAGAATAGAGGCTTGAAAAGAAATACCTCTAAGGGACTTCTAATTGTCCCCTACTGCTGGAAAAGAAAGAAAATAAAAACAATGACAATAGAGTAACATGTTCATGAGACAGGTAGCAAGAGTTGGGTAAAGGTAAGTACAATAATTATAGTTGGAAAGAGACACAAGTTGGCCTTAAATCTCTTCATTCTGCTAAGATACAAATCTAAGTATCAGTTAAGATTCATTAAACATCTATTATGTTGTCAATATTCCTAAGGATTCTTTATGTGTCATATAAGACTGCTTTTATTCTTGCTTTCTTCTTTCTATAATGTCAAAAGACTCTCCCAGAAGAGCCTGCGGGACAATTTAATACCACCTCCATATATTATACGCTGTTACTGAGCTTACAGAACAAAAATTCATGTCAACTTTTTTTTTTTTTTTTTTTTTTTGAGACAGGGTCTCACTCTGCGGCCCAGGCTGTAGCCCAGTGACATAATAACAGCTCACTGCAGTCTTGACATCCCAGACTCAAGCTATCCTCCCACCTCAGCGCCCCCAGGTAGCTGGGACTTGCAAACACACACCATCATGCCTGGCTAGTTTCTGTATTATTTTTGTAGATATAGGATCTCACTATGTGGCCCAGGCTGGTCTCAAACTCCTAGGCTCAAGCCTCTTGCTTTGGCCTTCCAAAGCACTAAGATTACCGGCATGAGCCACCATGCCTGGCCTTAACTGTTACCCTAAGAACTGCCTCATTATACTGAAGTACTCCCAAGTTATGACCACACTGTTTGCACCACACTACCATTCCTGTTTGCACGGGGCAGGAAGCACACCTGCTTGATACAGTTGAAATGGACTCACTTGAACCACTGACTGGCAAGCTCAACTATCTGACCTCAAGCCTTCTCCCACCACTTTAGTTCTCCCTCTTAAAATCACTCACACAAACTGTTTTCCTTGTTTCCTATCTTTGCTCAATGCCAACAAGATTTCCGGAACTCAAATATTTTGGTTGACTGACTTATGTACTGAAACAGGGGTAGTAAATTCTGCATTGTTAAATAAGATGCTCTTGAAACTACAGTGAGGTTATGTACCAATAAACCTGTCTTAAGTTAAAAGTATCATGTCAAAAGTACATTTAATACACATATTCTACCTGAAACATGCTCAAAACACTTATATTAACCTACAGTTGGGCAAAATCATCTAATGCAAAGCTTACTTTGTGATAAAGTATTAAACATCTCATGTAATTTGTCAAATATTATAACTGAGTATGAAAAGCAGAACAGCTGTATAGGCACTCGAAATGTGGTTTCCACTGAGTGTATATCACTTTTTTACCATGGCAGTCGAAAAATCATAAGCAGAACTGTCACAAATCAGGGACCCTCTGTGTGTGTAACACATTCCCAAAATACTTCCTCTCTCTTTACCAGCCCTTGCTCAATTACTTACTATTGAAAAGCCTCCCTGTCTTATTTTTTATGTTTTTAAGGCAACACAAATTAATTCTTAAGTGACAGGCATAGGAATAGTGCTTTAAATATTTCTATATCAAAGACAATAAAATTGAGATGTTTAACAATATGCTTTGTCTAAGAATGACAAGAACTACTTCAGAACTCAAAGATATGTCTCCATCTCCCTTCTCAACTTCATCTAATCACTCTCACTGAGCAGTGACATTTAACATAAATAAATTAGATATTTATAAGCTGCATAAGAATTATTTATATGCAATTTGGAATTATATTCACAAATATTAAAAGTATTTACACATATGATCTTATACATTATATATACACTTTTTTTGGTCTAAAGTATTTACACATATGATCTTATACATTATATATACACTTTTTTTGGTCTATTTGTACCCTAATTTCTGTGATAGTTGTAACTCAAGTTGGAACACAGGGAAACTCAGTAGTTAAATGGATGGACTCTGCCAGCTGTCAATCTGTTGCTTTTCAGCTCCAATTCCACCTTTCCATTGCCCTACCTATGTCGGCTAACACAATTCCAAGCAATGTTGATAGAGGGTGCCAGAGAACATACAGTAGAAGAAAAGGGGGTCTTCTTCCTGGTTCTCTTCTTACCTGAAGGCACACGGCATCAACCATGGGCAGCATTTCTCCAGACCCCTGAGAATGGCCTTCCGGTGCACCACCCCCACTGGCAGATTCCCAGTGAGTTCTGCAGTGTGGCACCTCCCTGTGGACAGCTTCCCCCTAGAATCCCAGAACATCAATTCCCTGCAAGTCTCACTACTATAAGACTTTGGTGAACTTCTCTGCCATGCAGTATGACCCACGTTCGCCAATGAGGACTGGATCCCAGCCCTGGGCAGAGGAGGGTGGTGCCTTTTTGGATACTTGGCTCCCTATTTCTGCTACTTCTATATTCTTTAGAGTTTTATTTAACCATAGTAAACAATTTGTTATTGTTTATATTAAGCATTCCCTGTTCAATTATTGTGTTTTCCCTGTCTTTATAGTGTACCCTAACTGATACAAAGTGCAACATTGTCCCTATAGGAAAATATTCAAAGTAAAAACAACCAACTTTGAGAAATTTAGTAATGTGTATAAAGTTTGACCAACAAGATATAAAGTGAAATATGAATGTCTTAGGAGGGACATCAGAAAACCTTTTAATTACTTCAATTCTAATACTCTAAGTTGTCAGGCATTTTATTTTTTCCAAGTGCTTCTGCCTAACAGAGTCAGAGCTAGATTCTACCACGTAACCATGCCACATTTTTGAAACAAGGACACTGAGAATCCTATTTTTGAATTCATTTCCCTACAAAACCATACCTGAAGCCATACTCAGTTCAGTTATATGTAATTTAACCAACATTTACTAAGTATTAACAACATTTCAGGAATTCTGCTAAATGTTGGGAGCACAATGAGAAATGAGCCAAAGACCTTGCCCTTAAACACTCACACCACCTGAGACAGGATACCCACGAAAATATAATAGCATGACAGCAGCAATGGAAACCCACACAGAGAAAGAAAAGGCAAAAGAAAAGACATTATTAACTCTGCTGGGGGGTCAGAGTGGGAGACAAGAAGATCACAGGGCAGAGAAAAGGGACACAGGTTTTGAACAACCCATGAGTCGTCTGAGGGGGATAGAGAGAAACAAAGAATACTTCAGTAAAAAGAAAATAAAAGAATAAGGGCAATAAAGTACAAAAGAATAACATAGCAAGACCTTTTGAGGGAAATGTGAGAACTTTCATACTAGCAGGGACATTCACTATAAGGGTGGGGGCCATGTGAGGGGAGGCAGGACTCTGAGCTCTATCTGGAGATGCAGAGATCAAGGGTAGCTGGGTAGTAGAGGTAATAAAGTGGTAAGAAGCATGTGTTAGACAACTGGTGGAAGCAACAAGGGTAGACAACGAGTAACCAGGGTAGACAATGAGTGACCAGAGCAGACACTGGGACATCAGTTATCAAACAAACACAATAGACCTGGTGGAAAACAATAAGAGCTAGGACTACGCTAGAGAGAAAGGTGAGTTAAGAAGGATTTGGGAGACAGAATGAATGTGTCTTCGTAATTTACAAAATGTAAAAATATAAGACAGGGAAAATTGGAAAATTCCATTTTTTTTTTAACTGGTGTATCTAAATTCCAGTAACTAAAAATAAAGAACACAGGTGAAAGCCCATGTGTGTGCATTTGTATATGGTGATGAGTGTTGGTGGAGTCATGTAAAATCAGTTTAGTTTTGGTACAGGTCAGCTTTAAAGGCAAAGCATAGCAAAAAAAAAAAAAAAAACAGAAAAACAGAAAAAGTCAAGACAAAACCTTATGAAATGTCTACGTTTTAAAATTTGGCAAAAGAACTGAATCCAGGGCAGGTTGGTGGTGTCAGAGTAGAAGAAAAAATATGGATTTACTAGCAGTCAAGGGAGAAGATGGTTTCAGGACGAGAGAGAGACCGTTTCAGTCAAGATAAGAGTCCCACAGGGCTTTTAAAAACCTCTCATTGTCCATCTCATCATCAGAGAGAGGCAGAGATAGAGAAAGACAGAATTACCAAATGCCACGAGAGAAATCAGGTCAAATTAAGAGAGATTTGTTGGTTTTTATCACCACCAGGTCTTTCTGACACACAAGATTTACTGGAGTGGTAAAGAGCAAAAGCCAGCAGCAGCAGAGGGAAGAGAAGACAAGGCACCATAACACTAAGACAGCAGATGTAAACTGTTC